CGGATAAGATCAACCCATAAAATTTTATAAAGACCATCCTTTTGCTTTCTCCGCAAATGCTCTCGGAGACTACCACCTTTGGCATACTGTAACACCAACATGAAATTACCTGTTGTTGGGTCTAAATTTTGGTTTGAAAAGCAGTATAAGGTTAAGTTTATTGCGACGTTGTATTGGAATTTTTGTTAGGAAAATATTACAAAGTATGTTGCGGTTTAGTGATTAATTAACTACATTATTCGACTTTATAGTAACCAATCCATACTTGAGTCCAGTGTTCGAAAATAAGTTCTCACGAGAACACGATTGTAAATTTGTGCACAGTATAAATATTGTACTGTTCACTATTAAAAATTTTTTGAGAACAGTAAAATAAAAATAGTGTTCTCATAAACAGTAAACAGTAGCTACGCTATTTTGTCACGCCGAACCAGAAATGGACAAATATAACTAATCATAATGATCTAATTTAGAAGCATTAAGCATTATATAAATTCTAATGAGAAATAATATTGATCTAAGGTGAATTTAGAAATATATATTTACCTAACGTATTATTATTAATTTCATAAATCGAGGTAATACTTGTAAAAATTGTGCATTGAATAAATCAAAAGAAACTTTACTATTTTCTAATATGTTATGGTTGGTTTTTCGAACACTGCTCAAAACTTTGATCATGTTTCACCGTAAATTAATAAAACGCAATTACTAGATATCTAACAACATCAAGTTTTATTCATTGTGCATAACAGTTTTCCTAACAAATATCCCAATATGGATATATACTATATGCTACCGAATACTGTACTAATTAATCCTTTTAATAACATCTTTTGGTACAATTCAAACATTTTCTGCGTAGTTATTTGAATTATACCGATTTACACAGATCAAAATCACCAGATTTGATTTTCTTCACAGAAAGAGATTCACTTGTATAGTAGATCGGTAACATATAGCCAATTGTGTACTCTTGCCTTTAGAGATTCCATGAAATTTAATGATATTTTGATGATTATCGATCTTGTAAAGACACTTAATCTATATGTAATTGCGAGATAATAAGTTCAGATTCTGATATCAGTAACTAACTAAGCACATTACCTCACGTTTAAGTTTTTCGAATTCATTATCCTCAAATTTCAAATTAAGATTGAAACTTTTTAATGCATAAATCTGTCCATTAAAGGTTGCCGAATAAACGACTGCAAAACCTCCTCTGCCAATAAGTTTGACATCTTTAAATTCTGGGTAATCAAAACTTTTTATATGTGACGATTTTAACCATATTTCCAATTCTTCAGAAAATTCTGACGCTAATTTTACAAATATTAAATGTTAATATGCATGGTTACTTATTTTATGAAGCCTGATTCTTCGAGAGAGAAATGAGTGAAAAACCTTCATTAGGTATGTGCTCAAATTCTGGATTTACAGTTCTCGTAGTATTCGTTTCAATACTGTTTCTGATGGAAGAATCTAAGTTTACTGAAGTATTAGACTTTGCAAGATTATTTCCACTGCTATTTTTAATGGGATTTACAATAAATTCTACAGGTGTTTCCATTAATAATTTATTGAGTTCAACCAAAACTTGATATAAAGATGGGCGCTGGTCCGGTTCAGCAGACCAACATTTTCGAATAAGATTAGCATAACTTAGGGGTGTATTATTAACGATTTCTTCTCTTTCTCCTTGAATAATTTTTATAATAATGGCAACAGAATTGTTATTATTAAAAGGTGGGATTCCACTTGTGAGCTCCCAGAATAGTACGCCTAAACTATAAATATCAGACTTTTTATTTATTTCGGCTTTTCTGTCATAATGGATGAAACATTGTGGCTCTAGGTATGCCGGAACTCCACTTAAGATTGTGTCTGAATTAGAACCATCTAATCGTTTTGATATTCCAAAATCAGTGATAAGGGCCCTATTATTATCTATTAAAATATTCATAGAATGCTATAATACAAGATTTAAAAATAATGTCAATTTAAATTTAGTGCAATTGGAGAATTTAAAAGAAATAAGTCTTACTAGATCTCGGTGAGCTATGTTGTTATCGTGCAGATGGACCAATCCAAGAGTCATTTCTATTGCAATTCGGATAAGATCAACCCATAAAATTTTATAAAGACCATCCTTTTGTTTTTTCCGCAAATGATCTCGGAGGTTACCACCATTGGCATACTGTAACACCAACATGAAATTACCTGTCACAGGATCTAAATTTTAATTCGAAATATAGTATAAGGTTAAGTTGATTGCGAAGTTGTATTGGGATTTTTATTAGAAAATAAAATCCGAACATTTGAGGCTTAATGATTACTCGAGACTTTTCAAAATATTGAACATGCTGTACAATTCCAAGATATCTAGCAACGTCAAATTATACATATAGTATACTACCGAATACTAATTGGTACTATTCATGTTATTTGAATTATACCAAGATTACAAAATTATACAGATAAATCGGATTCTGATATTTCCATAATTTTTTTGCAAAAAGGACAGCTTAAACAGATATCATAAATGTAACATATGGTCAAATGTAAACTCTTGCCTCTAGAGAATCCATAGAATCTAATAATATTTTGATGGTCACCAATGGTATAAAGTTGCTTAATCTATATATAATTGTAGAATAGTGAGAATTTAGATTTAATATTAAGTAACAAATTAAACATATTACCTCACGTTTAAATAATTCTAAGGTTTTGTCTTCGAGGTTTAAATTATTTCTTAAACTTTTTAATGCATAGATCTGACCATTAAAGGTTGCCGAATAAACGGTTGCATAATTTCCTGAGCCAATTAATTCGATATCTCTAAATTGTGAGAAATCAAAGCTTTTTATTCGAGATGATTTTAAATGCGTTTCTAATTGTTCAGGTAAATCTGGTACTAATTTCACAAATATTAATTGTTAATACATTGTCATGTGTGGAGAATTATATTTGTAAACACAATAATTACTCACATGTTTCTATTGACATAAATTTAGACTTTTAAGAGAGATATGTATGATTCAGTGTGAAAAAATCTAAGTAAAAATTTGGTTTCAGGGTGAAGGATTGTACGATTAGTGTTTTAGTTATGTGTCACAATGTATTCCTTATTACAGTATATTAATTGTTTACGTACGTACGTTCTGTACGTACGTACGTATGTTACATAACACAACCTCTTAATGAAACTTCAAAATTCCGATTATAGGTGGGCTAATGCGCACTTTTTTCTATAGGGCAATTCTTGAATGTGTGCCAGGTTGATGGCGCATCAATCAGTCCAAAATTAACCATAGTTGGCGCAACAAAATCGGCACGGCAGATCTTCGATTTTGATTGGCTAACGGCCGAGGATCTTCTAATTTCCGGCCGTAATTACCTTTTTAATTTTTTTTCTTTACAAGCGAAAATTTTTAATGTAATGTTGTATTCGAATCAATAACATCACAAATTCCGCCAATATGTGGTTACTTTACTTATGAACAGCGTATAAGAACTATAAGCAACTGTTAAGTAACTGATAAGTAACTTACAGTATATAAATAATTTTACAATCACTGGTAATCACATTATATAATATATATTATTGGCTCAAATTCTATGTAATCCCATCATTCAATTTTCTAATCACAAAAATGAAAATTTCCGATCATATGAATAGAAATTTTTAAAAATTAAGCCTACATTATGATAAAATTGGCCCAGGAACAAATTTCACATAATGGGCAGCTGTGATTTCAAATCACCACCTAATAAAATTTCAGGTTGGGCGATTTACATCATTCACATATTCAAAAAATTTACTAGTTAAATTACACTTTGAAATTTTATTAATAAACATCATATAATAATTAATATATTGTGATTATTAAATCATATGATCTGAATTTTTTTTGGTGTTGATTTAACCCTAGTTGTGATTTCATTAGTAAAATTCCGACCTCACTTTTTGATCGTCGCTCTTAGCCAATCAAAACTGAGAATCTGCCGTGACAATTTTGTTGCGGCAGCAAATTAAAAAAACTATAATTATAACAGTAATAAAATTATAAACTTCAATAGAACGAAAACACCATTCTTTAACGTTATTTCTATTCGAATCATGTTCTTGCTATTTTCAAAAATACTTAATAAATTTTGAGAAAATTTAAAAACTTTTCAAACCCCATTTTTCAGGCAGCATGATTCCTTTCATTCTTGAGCTTCTAATATTATTGTTTTGATTATTGTATTGAATTCAAAAAATACTCGTATTCTTTACTTTTATAATGTTTATAAGGTATAATTTTTGGAATTTTCACGTCAAAGTTCTTAATATTATATGCGTATAAGAAAAATATTGGCTTTAAAAATATGATAATAAATCTTAAATAAACACGTACTATATCTGATATAGTTTATAAAAACTTTTTTAAATGAAAAGCACTTTCATAATCTACGCTGAATCGTATCTTGAAAAAAGAATAATAGTAGTATTCCTTAATGTTAAAGACGCTTCACTCTTAAAACCAAATTTTATAAGCTTTGTTAACTTTACATACTTCCAAAATTACTGTAATATACTCTACTTACATATTAAGTACGGTCAACTCTCTTTATAATGGTAACTTTTTATAATGAACGAACTAAAATTTTAAAAATTCATTATTTCTGTTATGTCTTCAATTCACAAAAGAAAATAGAAACATTCATAGTATAGGACGGTTGAAGCAACATATGGTGGAAGTTTTCGTTGAAAAAGAAATTTTACGAATGTATTGTACATACTGAGATAAATGAGATTATTGTGGCTGGGTAATGTGCCATCAACCTGGCACACATTCAAGAATTGCTAAAAGTAATATTATGATAATTTCAAGCAAAATGAAGCGCCAAATTGTCTCGATGTTATATACATAAGATACTATTTATTCCGAATAAAAGTAAGTAGGAATTTTTTAGACCAAATAAATAAAACACCATAATCTCCGTCAATTTTTGCTCCAAAATCGGATGTATTGCTTTTAATTCAAATCGGCAACATAGAAGATTATTATTATTTTCAATTGATAGAATTGGAATTACGATTAATGCAATTTAACAGTTTTTCAGTTTTTCTTAAAATAATCATATTAAAGATTACTAATATATTTATATATTAAAGTTTTGCTTTAAAATTTTTTACTCTTATAACTACTAGTTACAAGGTTTATATTTATATTTATTAGTTATTTAATTTTTTTATTTTTTTAAAATAAATATTCACTTGTGTTATTTTAACTAGACCATTGCTTAAAAATTTTTTTTTCTTCGCCTTAATGAAAATTAGTCAACTTATTTTCTTTGTTTTTGTAAGATTAACTCGTATATAAAAGTTGTTTGATTCAAATGAATTCATAAAATTTTCAAGTATGGGCACAAGGACTTTGAGCTTATACAGAATATCAGTGCATGTCTTATAGAGACGATGAGCTGCGACTTTAAAGAATGTAGTATTAAAAGTTATAGCAATATAGTTTATGTAACACACCCTGATCGTAAAGGATAATAAAATTCTAGATCTGGTATACATATAATATCTATACAAAAAAACATAATTACATTAGTATAAAATTTCCAAAATTTTTTACGCACATTTATTTGTAATTAATGCTATCATCTTAAGAGTCTTTATCTCGGGAACTTTGAATGCAGCATCAGAAATATATAAAATTAATTCAACTCTGATATCAAGAATACTGGGGTGCAATTAGAGCCGATCTCGATTGTCACAACTAGTGATGCAGGTGAATCGTCCCAATGATGCCGCCGTAACTTGTCTTAATTATCTCTGTAATATGTAATACAGTCGTCCTCCTCTATAGTCACCTCCTATATAGTCACAACTTCTATATAATCACATAAAATTTTAAAACAATTTATTAATAATCTTATTAAAAACACCTCAATATAAGCACTTTATAGTTATAATCACATATTTGTGTAAAACAAACTGAGTGATTATAGAGGAGGAGGACTGTAATTATAATGAATTACGAATTTGGCTGCACTATACTAAATATTTATGAGAATGTCCATATAACAGAAATATCTGCAGCTCTTTAATGGACCGTGTCACTGCTGCTGAGGTGGCTATTATGGCTTTAGATAGGAGGAAAAATTTTTCGTGATATCAATTACTATAAACTTTTTTAAATTTTGTTGTGTGATGGAAAGGATAAGACAATTCACCAAAAAATATATTTACTCTATCGGATTTAAAAGGTTAATGCATACTAATTCTGGTAAAGAAAATTTTGAATCGCTTATTGCGAATTCGAAGCTACTATGAATGATTTATATTTTACTATAGCTTTTTTTAATGATAAACAAAGAGAAGTCGACGCAATGGCTCTTAAATTTGACCTTGAGGAATTGCCAAATGTCATAATTATTTATGAAATTTTAATAATCAATTCATAAACCTAAATTACTTAGTTTTTAGAAACAATTGGCGGCGGTGTTGTTGACGCTAATCAAAATAGTAACGTCACTCTAAATTATTAAAACCAATTGAGCTATCAAAATTCTGCTACCAAAAATATTAAAGCAACCGAGATAGATTCGAATGAATTAGACGATTCTCCAATTGGAAAAGCTACTGAAACACGAGGCAATGCGAAATAAGAAGCTAATAGAGTTATTTAAGTAACATGCAAACATACAAAAATTATAGATGATGGCCACCTGAAAGAAAGACCACCTAGACCCAATTTGCCATATTATGAAAGCTAAAGGATTTTAAATTTTATGACTTTCAAAAGGTTTCTGACTATCAAGTTTAGTTTTGAATGGGCAAAATTCGGCACACTACAAGAGTTTTATAATAAGAATAACATTGCATAGTGTTCAAAGGTTCAAATAGCTCTTGATATCTGTCGTGAAATTGTATTTATGCATACCTGTGAATTTTTTTTTATTATATCAAATGCGTGAACATTTTAGTAAGCCATATTGATATGAGATTAATATTTGTAACAACAACAATAATCATAACAATATTATACTAAAATAGAAGACTTCATGATTCGAACTGAAGATGGTAAATTTCAAATATGTTCATCACGATTCGTCTCATACAAGTAATATAGATTGATTAACCGACATCATGAGGTGATGGCTCCTGAAAAATAAGATGAAACACTTAAAATCTCAGTGCGATATACATTCAAATATGAAATCTTCAGATAAATATTCTTATCGATTTATTAAAGTGTTCTTTTGCACGTTGCTTTAAGAACTTGCTTTTGAAAAAATGTATATGAAAATATGAAAGTAGATCAAATTAAGGAACAAGTTTAGATGGAAAAAACTACGTGAGGTATTGGCTCACCAGATATTTGAATAATCCAACAAATTATTGCAAAAATTTAATAATTGCAGATAATATGTTCTTTAAATTTGACTCAAAAATTATTTATATTTTGTTTTATAAAAGATTTTTTGGCCATTTATTAGCCTGTAATTTAAGCCTGGTAACAAAATATAAATATCAGGGCTTCGTTCCAAGATACCTTTTTATAACTGAATAAGCTATCCATGAACCAGATTCCACTCCATCACTATTCCCAGATGGAACAATAGACTTAGATGGATCAAGCTTCAACCACCACTTAGCAGAGTTGTCATTGGTCTGTGTCAGTGTTTCGGGCGAAACCTGATTTGCAGTCATTTGCAGATCAAATTGGCGAAACTAGTTTCGGATCGAACTTAATAGGGTGAAACTAAAATTTCCCTGAGCGAAACGTTTCAGATTTGGAAAATAATTTCGCCCAAAACACTGGACTGTGTTCAAATAATTTTTGAGACTATAAGGAATTAAACAATGTTAATATATATGTTGTGCGTGAAATTAGAATGTGCGTCGATTTAAAACTGAGTTGCGTCAGATTGAAATTTAATTTTGAGATGCGTAAGATTCAAATTTCTGATTTGCGTCAAATTAAAATTATAAATTACATATAAAGCAG